GCCGAAGGGGTAGAGGAAGACCTATGAAAACTTTGGAAGAGATTCTAAGAAAAGACTTAGAGTACTTGGATCTAACGGAGGACATGACACAAGACTGAGCATAATGGTGTTCTAAGATTCATATACCCGACCCTACTCAGTGACTTGGATTTTTCAAGTCTCCAACTAAGAAGTTTTCCTCACTCGAGAAATTAAGGGAACACTACCTTAACCTACATGTTTCACTCACAAAGCTTCAACAAAAGAAAAATTCAAAGAACTTAGTGAAGAAGGCTTTGGTGTATTTAACACAATACGTTGAAATGAATCAAAGCTTGTTTATTGATATCTCTTATAAGTTACAAATATGTACATATACATGAGTCAAAATAAACAAACAAGAGGGCCTTCACAAAGGTTGCTTAGGAGAAGTCTCAGCAGTCGGTAGAGCCCTAGAAAGAGAAGGCACCGGAGGGTGATCACTCGGAGCCTCAGTACTGGACAGAACCCTAGAAGGAAGAGGCATCGGAGGCTGATCATTTGGAGCTTCATTACGTGGTACAGCCCCAGAAGACGAAGGCAATAAATGCCTTTGAAACAAACTCACAAACCTCTGATGATCAAGTAAACTCTGACCATCAGATTCCTTCACCTGGTCAAGCTTCCTCTTCATGTTTGTAGCATAATCATGTACGAGCTTGTGCAACTGTTTATTCTCATGCTTGAGCCCTCTAATCTCCTGCTTGAGACTCATCACTTTAGCCGCCAATGATTCAACTTGGCAGGTTCGAGCAAATAGGCGTTAGGCCATATTCGACACAGAACTTGCACATTGAACACTGAGAACCAGAGAATCCTTAACAGCCAACTCATCAGACCGTTTGGAAAGAAGTCTGTTATCTTTGGGAATGAGAATGTTCCTAGCCACCACCGCAGCGGTCATATCATTCTTCATCACGGAATCCCCAACGGTAAGAGAACTAGTAAGGGATAAGAAGGATGGGCGCCATATGTTATCTAGAGAAGGCGCGGCTGCCTCTTCACCAAGGTTCAAGTCAAAACGACGGTCGGAAGGGCCAGACATTTTCAAAAGTGTTGAAGAGAGAAGAGGTCGGACAAATCAAGATCTTAGAAGTGCAAGAAGGGAGCTTCTACTGGTGGAGATTCAAGTGTGCTTTGGAACTTAATGCCAGCCTCTATAAAAATATGCACTCGACGGAGCTTCAGAAATCGAAGAGGCGTTTGCTTTCTCAAAAGCTGGGCTACTCAGAGACCACGAGGGCCGATCTCAGAGATCGAAGAGGCGTTTACTTTCTCAAAAGCTAGGCTACTCAAAGACCACGAGGGCCGATCTCAAAAATCGAAGAGGCGCTTACTTTCTCAAAAGCTGGGCTGCTCAGAGACTACGAGGGCCGATCTCAGAAATCGAAGAGGCACATGCTTTCTCAACCTTGTCAGCACCTGTCACATGCACACTCAGCTTTGCAGAAATTACGGGCAATCTGTCGAAGATTTCTGGTGAAGTAGAAAGCACGTGAATCTTACTGTTCAATCATCCACTTTCCACATGCAACATCAGCTCATGGGTACCACAGATAACTTTGCCAAAGATCTCTAACAAAGTTTAGACACGTGAAGCTTGCAGCTCCCACTACATCGCTATGACCAAGAAGGGTAAAAGAATAGCAAAGAAACAGCACTCACAAAGTTTAGATACATAAATTTTGAAGGTTTAGCTACCATATTATTACCCACAAGGGTAAAGGAACAGCACCACTGCTGGATAATTGGAAAGTCCCTGTGTGTCAACCTCTGTGCTCCGTGGCAAGGTAGACTAGCAAAAATGCCTAACCTTTACTCACATTCGAGAAAACACTCCCAACAAGATTGCTTGCTCCAAATTCGAAGAGGCACCGCCCTCCGAATCTCGAGAGCCAGACTCCTAACAGAATTACTTTCTCAAAAATCAAAGAGACACCGCTGTCCGAATTTCAAGAGCCAGACTCCCAGCAGGATTTCTTTCTCAAAAATCGAAGAGGCACCGTTCTTCGAATCTTGAGAGCCAGATCCCCGATAGGATCGCTTGTTCAAAAACTAAAGAGACATCGCTTTCTCAACTTCGAGAGCCAGATCTCCTTAGATAAGGCTTGTCTGTAATCTTCACACGCAACATCAGCTTTCCAGATACCACATACCACTTTTTCAAAGTGCTCTGAAAGAGTTAAAACATATGAAGCGAGCAGCTCCCACTACAGTGTTATGACCAAGAAGGGTAAAGGAATAACATTACTACTTGTTGTTGGGGAAACTCCTATATATGTCGACCTCTATCCTCAACGGACAGGCAGACCTTAAAAAATGCTCAACCCTTCCTCATATCTGAGAGGGCACTCCCAACGAAGCCTCTCGAAATACTCAGCTTTCTTTCCCCCTCGATAATACCTTTGCAAACAAGCTACACCAGAGCAAGAATATCTCATATCATTAGGGTTAAAAGCAAGAGTATCCCATATCATGCTTTTTCCCTGTATTTTCCTTTAGCCTTGTTCTTACCTGCAAGACAATGAGAAAAAGAGCAATCAGTCAGCACTTGGAATCAAGCTTCCAGTTAGGAACTGACTGCCTGGAACCCCTTACCTGATTACTTACCTGGCATTGCTCTCGAGTATTCATCTTCAACATCTTATGCTTCCAGAGAAGATACCACATCTGCATGAGGAACAGATAAGGCCAGTGAGAAGGATACAATGAAGCATGTGGAGACAAGCGTAACAGAACACATGCCAATACTTCCACTACTTTGTCAACAGCAAAAGTATCTCATATCAGCAAGGTTGAACATACTCTAGATTTGATAGACTTATTTTAACCCTCAAATTCTTCAGTCGGCCTTATACTTTGGAGGTAACCATAAAACCCTCCAGCCCAATTTAAGAATAAGCATGTGGAAAGTTACTTCTTCAAAAGCAAAAGTATCTCATATCATCTCTTTTCCTTTTCTTCTCTTTATCCTTCATGCTGCCTGCAAGATAAGGAGAATGAGAACAATCAGCCAAAACTCGAAATCAAACTTCTGATCTGGGACTGATTGCTTGGAGCTCTGATTGCTTACCTTGTCTGTCACCTCTTTCAGCAGATCCCCTAGCTCGGCGACTGGGGGGACTCCTACTACATGGTTTGTATCGCGCTTGACCACGCCTGAAACTACAAGTAAGCTTCAAGTGAAATTGATACATTACCTTATGCATCTCCACCAGTTAAAGATACCACCCCTGGACGGAGGAAGAGTACTTCCAAAGAAGATGCCACATCTACCTATAAGACAGATAAGGCAAGTGAAGGCAATACCACACTTCGGTACTTAGAAGTTTCGTGATTACTCAGCGGCTTGGATTTTGCAAGTCCCCAACCGAGTAGTTTCCCCTCCAACCAGGAGGCCAATCACAGAGCGACACGTGTCGACATCAGAAGCCAATCATAGCGCGACACGTGTCAACATCGGAAGCCAATCACAACACGACACGTGTCAATGTTAGAACAAGGCTAGAAACTCTCTTCTATAAAAGGAGATCATTCTCCCAAAATATTTCCTAATGCCATTTGTACTGAATCATTCACTTGTACCCACTAAAGGAGAGCTTGAACCTATGTACTTGTATAAACCCTTCACAATTAATGAGAACTCCTCTACTTCGTGGACGTAGCCAATCTGGGTGAACCACGTACATCTTGTGTTTGCTCTCTTGTCTCTATCCTTTTACATACTTATCCACACTAATGACCGGAGCAATCTAGCGAAAGTCACAAACTTAATACTTTCTGTTGTACCAAAGTCCTCGCTGATTTTGTGCATCAACAATCCTTAAGTCCTTACCTTTTTGCATTGGTAATGGATGAGTTAACATGACATATTCAAGATGTTATTCCTCGGTGTATGCTTTACGCAGACGATTTAGGGTTGATAGGTGAAACTTAGGAAGGGGTAAATGCGAAGCTTAACCTTTGGAGAAAAGTGTTGGAATCTAAAGGTCTTCGCCTAAGCCGATCAAAGACAGAATATATGGAATACAAGCGGAGTGGATGAAGTGGAAGAGTGCATCCGGCGTGTTGTGTGACCGTCGTATGCCACTAAAGCTCAAGGGAAAATTTTATAGGACGGCAATAAGGTTGGCGATGCTGTATGGCACAGAATGTTGGGCGGTAAAGCATCAACACGTACACAAAATGGGTGTAGCAGAGATGAGGATGCTTCGTTGGAGGTGTGGGCTCACGAGAAAGGATAAGATTATGAATGAGTGGGTTGGACATGTGCAAAGAAGGCTTACTGACGCTCCAGTTCAAAGATATGACTACGGGACAGAGGTTTAGGGCCGAAGGGGTAGAGGAAGACCTAGGAAAACTTTGGAAGAGACCCTAAGAAAAGACTTAGAGTACTTGGATCTAACGGAGGACATGACACAAAACCGAGCGCAATGACGTTCTAGGATTCACATAGCTGACCCCACTTAGTGGGAAAATGCTTTGTTGTTGTTGTTGTTGGTGAAGAGAAATGAGAAATGGTTAGAGAGTCGTGCTGATAATGTGTTATAAAATGACAAAAGTTAGATAGATAACCTTTACTAGTGACTGGAGCGAAGCAGGTGTAAAATACCACACTGTAACTATAACACAAGGGGATGACAAATAAAAGAGGGAGGGATAGATACTGATGTTATTGATATTTTCTTCTTCTCAGAGTATTTTGATAGCACACAGAGTGCTTTATTTATAGAGCAACTCCAAACAAACGTAATAATTACATCTTGAAATTTACAGCACGCACCTTTTGAATACAATCCTCATTCATATCCCAAGTCCACATTACTGTGTGGGCATTCATTAACCCACAAATATTTTCAACACATATAATATTATAGTGTAATAAATATACCAACATAAATAGTGTTAAATTCTAATAATATTCGACGAGAGTTTGAAACTAATTGATTGCCGCAACCTTAAAGTTGGACATTACCAAATTCCCTCCCAATAGTCCACACCAGAGGATATGGTTGCGTTAATTTGTGGCGCCAAACCATCATCACACACTCACAGACTCCTCCAACTCTCAAAGGCATAAAGCACGCAAAAATTCAAAGCTCACAAATCCTCAAAAGCCATGATTCTCTGCAGCTGCTACCCATTTCTCTCCAAATCCCCAATCTTCTCCCTCCCATTTCCTCCCACCACCAAAACCCCATTCCTCATTTCCTCTCTCTGCTGCTCCACAACCCCCTCTTCCGTCCCAGACCCTCAGACCGACACTAATGACACCATCAGCGACAGCGGCGGCGGGCCCAACAAGAAGCGGCTTTCTGACCAGTCCTCGTGGGAGGCCAAGGACTCCGAGGGAAACGACTACTTGTACAGGTTGGGCAAAGAGGCTGATAACATGAACATCGCCGTCGGTGCCCGGGCCGGCCTCGTTGACGACCTCTTCGTCGGAAAGTTTCTCGGCCGAGACTCCGATATCGTGTTTGATTATCGGCAGAAGGTCACGCGGTCCTTCCAGTACCTTCAGGGCGATTATTACGTTGCGCCTCTGTTCATGGTATGATCATGTGCTTGTTTCTGATTATTTGGTTTGTATTTGATTCAATAGAAATTGGAGCAATGGTCCTTTAAAGCTTCCATCCAAACTAAAGGGTTTAAAGGGGCAAAAAATGGATGGTGCTTACGGACTTAGCCAAAAGGACTAATACTCACGAATTTTTAGTTCAGGACCAAAGCTCCAATTGAACTAAAGTTAAGGGACCATTGCTCCAATTATCTCGTGATTCAATTCCTTTGAAATTGATTAATTTGTGATTGAACAGTTTTTAAGATGCTAATCCAATGATCAACTGCTTTGATTCTTTCGGTATTAATGCCATTAATGATGATTGAATGCGTGATTGATGGGAATTTTGATGATTTTTCATTATGGGTTTGTCAAGTTAGAACATATCCATTGATGTTTTTGCTTAATTTTTATGTCTTAACTCTTATGAATTTAATCTGACAATTTCTGGTCAGTGATTTTATGTTTCTTTTTTGTTGCCTTTCTGTTTCACAGGATAAAGTTGGTAAGTTCTATGAAACTGGGCAAAAGATTAAAATAAAAATGTCATGATTCAGGTCAGAGCAGTACGAAAACTTGGTAAAAATCGCTGTACTTTTGTCACCTACCTGTGGTAACATGGTTTTTCCAATATTTGCAGTCATTTTGGTGGCCATGCTATGTGTTTGGACATTTGTTTAGCAAATTTGAACAAAAATTAAAATTTATCTGGTATTTGATCAGTTTGCTTAGGGCCGAATCAAAATCCTTGTCTTTTCGCATATGTTTTTAGTAGCTAAGATGAAAGGAAGGTTATATTAAAATTTTCTAATAAGATTAATTTGTCCATCCATCACCACACCTTGTACAATAACGGTTCATTGTGGATGTCTTTGTCACGAATTTTGAGTGGAATATTTTTAATAGCTATGTTTACACTATAAGAGCCTGTACCAGATACCTCCAGTTTCTTCATTTACACTTAATGCTTTCCCTCAGGGGTCTTGTTGTCAGGATTTTTATACTCATGATTTGTGTTTCCTTAATGGATCTGTAATTGAAAATTTCTTGTTTTACCATTGGAAACTTTCATGTTTTGTGCAGCTCATCAAAGACACGATGATATTGTTATTTGTTGTAATCTTATGTGCGTGTGTTGTTTTTCCCAATGCAGTATGCCATATTGCGAAGAACTACCTTGCTCCTCTTCTAAATACTAAAGTTCCATTAATCCTAGGTATATACCGTAACTATAATCTTTACCGGCTATTCTTATGGGTTCTTGTTGAACTTTTGTTGATAGTTTTCATAAAGCTTTTTGGTCATTGATATTTCATGTTAAGGTATTCAATCATGTTTCATTTTTTTTTCTCTTCTTGGAGTTATCGATCTGATTCTTAAGATGTTTTGACAAATTACTACATATTGAAAAGTAGAGGTCGCACTTGGTGCGATGGCAAGTGCCTTCGTCCATGAGCGGTAGGTCTCGGGTTCGAGACTTGGGAGCAGCCTCTCCATAAATGGGGGTAAGGCTAGCCGACATTCACCTCTCCCAGACCTTGCATAAAGCGGGAGCCTTGTGCACTGGGTACGACTACATATTGAAAAGTCACATTCATTTCTTTTGTAACATTGGTCGTCCAAATTTTTGTATGTGGTTACTTTTAGAATCTTACTTTAAATCTTACTTTAAAACTTCTCTATCTCCTAAGTCCTAACCTACTTTTTTAATATCTTCTGAATGAGTGATAATGAGTTTAGTCTTTCGGGGTGACACATTAACAGGATATGTCCTCTGAAAATTTAGCATTTTATCATATAGGTATTTGGGGAGGAAAAGGGCAAGGAAAATCATTTCAGACTGAACTTATATTCCAAGCCATGGGAGTTGAACCTGTAATTATGTCTGCCGGGGAATTGGAATCAGAAAGAGCAGGTAACTTTCTATGATTATAAAGTTACTTCCTAAAATTTTTGCTGTTTTCCGATTATAGAATTTCCCACAATACATATCTTCAATTGAATTTGTTCATTTCTTTGGGAACTCCTTCTACTGATCTGAAATAAGTAATTGAGCTGGCATACTGCAAGGACAATGGAAGATTTGTTACCCTGTTTATAATTTCTTGTAGAATCAGGCTTTATATAATCATAAGTTCCACTGCAGGAGAACCGGGAAAATTGATACGGGAACGCTATAGAACAGCTTCTCAAGTGGTCCAGAACCAAGTTAGAAGCTCTACTACTTTCACTGTTAATATATGTATGTCTGGGATTATGCAGTTAAATAGTGCTGTTTGACGTTGCCATGCAAGTTTATCCATATGTATGTCTTGGGTTGTGAAGTTAAATAGTGCTTTTTGATAATTGTCATGTAATATTTATTTGGTTTATGATTCTATATTTTTTTCTTTCTGTTATTGAATTGGGTCTGCGAATATTACCGACTTCTTTAGAAAGTTAAGACAGGGAGGGAGGGAGATGGGCTTTCCCAAAGTATGACAGAAAGCACGAGCAGAATTAGCTCCTTTTATCTTCCAAATCCTCTGGACGATAGACCTGCCAAAGAATTGTTTTGCGGGTAGTAGTAATACCTTTGTATTCTTTCTATAAGAAAGTAGATGCTGCATTAAAAGATTAACTCAAAGACTAGCGCATTCAATTTTTCACTTCTCCTGGTGTACATCATGCATTGATGCATATGTGTCCGACAAAGCTTCTTTAAGTCTCTTTTAGACACTCCATGCGTAATATGCAGAACCATCTTGAAAATCGGTGATTACAGGATCAATTTGGCGAGCTAAGTTTTAAGATGAAATTTATGTTTTAGACTTTCAAGTATACTGACAAGGCATTGCGGAAGGGTATTTAAGACTACCAAGTCACCAGAAACTGAGAGCGAGGTTGCAGAGTTTTGAAATATTTGTGAAAATCTACAAAGAAGTTTTTTAGGTGCTTTATGTTTTGTCCTTTTTCTCCTCAATGCTAGGGATGAAATTGTATGCAATCATGACAGTATTTGAAAGGGTTAGTAGACAAAAGGACACTGATAATGCAAACTGGAAAACTAGGGATAAGTTGCACCATATAGAGAAATTAGAAGCGGCACATGAAGCAAAGCACTGCCATTCTAATTTGTCACCACATGCACACTGTGTCAACTCTGCTACTTTTAAGCTGGAATCGTTCTTCAAGGGCTACAATTCAAAATATCACCTCTTAAATCCATTTGAAAAGTAATTGAGAGGATCTGTTCAGCTAGAAGATGGAGGCTGTTCTCCGTCAGATCTTTGACCATAAATACTGCTGTGTTATATGGAACTGTTAATTTTATTCACAGAAGACAGCACAACAAAATAGTTGTTTGTTACAGTCTATATATGTTTGGATCGTGCTAATTAGCTTCATTGTTGGACATCACTTGTTTCATACCGTCTATAAATTTCTATGGATTTTTAATTTTTCTTGACTATTGCAGGGCAAGATGAGCTGCTTGATGATCAATGACATTGATGCTGGCCTTGGTAGATTTGGTGAGAACTGTTTAATTTAGACCAGAAATTCAATAATTTACGAAGAGAAAAAGGAAAGCATTAAGCACATAAATACAATAGTGCCAACTTTTTTCTGTAATTTTCTTTTGTTGGGAAAAATCAGTTATGTATGGTGTTAGTTATACGTTCCCATCATTAGTCATTGGTGTAGGAATTACTGAATTGACCTTTTAGTTTTCATTTGTGTTTCAATTTTAGTGATGTGTTATTGTCTATTGTTTTTCTAGGCAACACTCAAATGACAGTCAACAATCAAATTGTTGTCGGAACATTGATGAATCTTTGTGATAATCCTACAAGAGTTAGTATTGGACAAGACTGGCGAGATTCAGATATTACAAACAGAGTTCCTATCATTGTTACTGGAAATGATTTGTCAAAAATATATGCTCCCTTAATCCGTGATGGAAGGATGGAAAAGTTTTACTGGTATGTGATTGTTTAACAAATGTTCATTTTCATTTTGCTGGTATGTGATTTTTAACAAACGATTAAGAGCTTTTAATTGGTGATTTGCATGGATAAATCAATTTGCCATGACACCCGCTTTGGATGAAAACTCAATGTTTGTTATGAAGTGTTTTAAGTATATCCAATATCAAGCTTCAAACTTGCACACAAAAAGGAGAAGTTGATTTGGAGATTTGTGCCTTAACCATTCATGATGGCATGCAAAATTTCTTATTGATTTTCCTCATATCAGTGTGAATCTTTGTTAGAATAAAAATCAAAATATATACATTGAGACCTTTCACATTGAAAATTCAATCAATTTGGTCAAGAAAATCCGTACCTTCTCATCCATGTCTGTAGGCAGATGGATGCCTTTAACATGTTTTTCCCAGTGAAGTGATTTCTTCCTCATGATGGACAATAAATCACGGCAAGATAGTGAATGACATGCCTCGTATCCATTTCAAACACCTTTTCTTGCCCTTTTTTTGCCTGTTCGTGACTCTATCAAATGCACTGGGCCTTCTTTCTGTAAACTTTTGACTAATTTTCCAAAATTACTGTGCTAAAGTATTGTTAGAAATTAATGTAAACCAAGTATAGTTCTTGATATTTTGAAATTGATTTGCTGTAGTGTTATTCTTAATTAAATTCTTTTCCAATTGACCACATTGTATCATTTATTATTTTGTGTTATGTGTCAAATGCTATTATATGTATGTTTGAGATTTCCTTTCCTTTTCTCCATGATATGTAACAGATCCATGTGACCCTTGTTGGATATTTATCTGAAACAGGCAGCCTAACCACGAGGACATTATTAATATTGTTCACAGAATGTATGAGAAAGATGGCATATCTAGGGATGAAGTTGTAAGGATAGTGGACACATTTCCTAATCAAGGTATCCCTCTCTTATCGTCTTCTATCTAATCACGAAATCAATGCCTTTAAATTTCTTTTCAGCAAACATGTGGATTTTCAATTTCTGGATGTCATGGATTCACCATAGGCTGTTGATCAAATTTGAAGACTTCTGCATTGTACTTTATTTCTTGTTCTTATTTTTATCATTGTTATTGTTATTGTTGTTATTGCTGTTGTTGTTGGTATTATTATCGTTGTCGTTACTATTGTACTATTCTTATTCTTCTTCTTTTGATGATTGGGCAGCACTAGATTTCTATGGAGCTCTAAGGTCTCGAACATATGACCGGTCAATTTCTAAGGTATATGACATTTTTATTTGAAATTTGTTAGACCATTGCAACAAGTTACTATGTCAAATGCAAAGATTCATAGTGTATCTGTCATTAAGCAATTGAATCCATAGTTTTACCCATTGGCATTTGGATATAGGATATCATAGTGCTCATTTGAATTACTGTGGAGGATTGACATGATCTCCGTAGGATAAATTTTTTGAGAAGAATCTCCGTAGGATAAATAATGCCTAACTTGTTGCCTAGTCTTCAGACCTAATGCCTAACCCGCTGAAGGTCATTTATAGTTATTAATGCTCCAGCTTCTCGAAGTCTTCTTGCCTAACTAGTTGATGTATAGCCAACAAACGGAATCTCAAAAACTTAAACAGGATAAATCATGTTGTAACCTTTACTGTCAAAGATTTGAGGGACTAAAATGATGAGCCACTAATTAGCACAATAATTATAAGAAACAGAATTTCATATTTCATTTAGATTGTAATTATCTGTCATACAATAACTCTGACAGGCAAATGCGATAAACTATTAACTATTTTTTTGCTTTTAAAAGGAAAACTTCCACAGAATTAAATAGGATAAAATTACAGGAAGTTCATTAGCAAAACAATTCATCAACAAATGTGGACCCCTTGCTCATAAAGAGCAAAGTGAGCCAAAACGACCAGTGACCATATGTCTCTCTCTTGGCTTGAAAGTTACTGAAATAACCAGCAATTGAGCCAAGAGAAGCGTAGTATCTTCCGCCAGATTCCCTCCACTGACCAACACTCATCAGCACAATGACAAGATTAGCCACGCTCAAAGAATCCGTTTGACAATCAACGAAAGGAAGGATGTATTTGTAGCGGAAAGAATGCCAGCATAAAGAGCATGCAATTCAGTCACAAGGATAGACACATTAGCAGTTGGCTGCCCAAAGCAACCGTCAACTAGCCTTGTGCATTACGAACTACAACACCAACACCACAAAGACCCGAACTAGGATCAACAGTGTCATCTATGTTAAGCTTAAACCATCCCCTTGGCGGTGCCTCCCAGGACCCTTCTAGGTGATGCATCCCCACCCCAACGGATCTCCTATTTGCTGTCCGGAACTCCCACAAGTCTACTCCATGTTGATAAATTACCTGGGCTGGGCGTGAATGTCCTTCATGCATCACCATGTTCTTTTCACCCCCACACAACCCACAAGATTTTGGCAGCTAGACAAACACTAATAAGAGAAAACGCATCACCATTAAGTGGCAAAAACATCAAAGAAAGCTCGAGTCCATATCTTATGTGCAAACAAGAAATTAGTGAACACAAGTTTCCCCTCTTAGGTACACCTTATACACAGCTGCATCCACAAGTTTCCTCTCAAGTCTTGACAGCTCTCCACATAAAATTGATAAGCTTCCCAGGAATTTTAGGCTTCCAAAGATGTTGCCAATATAAACTTAACAATGAGAGTTCAACAGCTCAAATCTTCCTGTTCTGATTTAAAATTGGTCTGGATTTGCTTGTTTCTCAACATTTTCTGGTAGTAGAAGTTATATTATTTCTTGTAAAATTTTCAAAATATTTATGTGCATTTATTGTCTTAACTAATTTCTCTTTTCTCCTAGTGGGTTGATGATATCGGAGGTGTTGAAAGTCTGGGAAACAAACTTATAAAGGGAAGAAAAAATGACAGCCTTCCCGTGTTTACTCCTCCAGAGGTAGTATTATCAATTTTAACTGGTGTTCTTTCCAAACCTGCATCCTATAAAAGCATTGAAAAGTCTGATTGATATGATTGTTGGTTTTGTACATCCATCAGTGAACTGGTTATACTTTCACCATCTCAGATGCAAAATGTAAATAGATTGAAGTATATAGTGCAACAGATTTGCAATATTTAGTGTTTCTGTCATGTTAGTTTTGGGTGGGTGCAGGTCAATAATAGCAAAACCCCTGCTGTGCACTGATATAAAACTGAACATTTGAAACTTGAAAAATGAGAGATTAAACGAATAAACACATAGGTTGCTAGGAAAAAACAGCACATTGCGCTTCTGTGCCAGTCCAAGGTGTATTTGTTAACAATCAGTAATGGATGGACTGATGGTTACATATTTGTATCAGCTTGCAGAATGCTTTTCAGAAGGGTCTTCATCGTGAACTGAAAACATAAATTTACAGAAATAATTGAAATTTTTTTAGAAACACATGTTTGATATTTCCTTTCCTTCACTTCATGTGCTTGAGATATGAGGAAACCATATGGATGAAAGGAGGGATGAAGAAGGGTAGTGTAAGACTGGGGAAGATATAAAGATGAATGAAAACAAAATCTTGAAAGTGAATAAAACTTAAGATTGTTTTTGAGTTTCGTTTTCTTTTTGAATCTTTCCATATGTATTTCTTCAACCTCTCTCCTCCATCCTTCCTCAACTCTTCTACATGCCTCATTTCTCCCAAGTGTGTCCCCTCTAATCAAACACAAAAAATGATAACTACAAACTAAAAACGAAATGATTATCAAGTAGGCTGTATGTAATCTGAGTTTGGTTACTAGTAACCAAATATCTTTTTATGGTTTTTGTATTTGGGTTCGGATGGGGGTTCACGGTATTTCTAATCTCCTAACTTTGTCATTGGAATAAATGTTCATTCTTTTTTTTTTTTTTCCTGCTATTGCAATCTGTCTGTCTGTTTTTTTCCCTTCAAATATTAATACAATTAGTATTGCTGTTAGTTTAGAAAAGAAATAGGAATTTAATGATCTACCCTGTCTGGTTTTAGAAAACTATGCAACATATTTGAAGCATTTTTATGCGTCTTGTAACTCATTTGGTTGGAATAAAATTTGTCTAGTAGGATTAACGCATTGAGTGGGTTTGCCTCTCCCTTGCGCAGCAAACTATGGAGGCTTTACTTGAATCAGGTTATTCTCTGATCAAAGAACAGCAGTTGATAATGGAAACCAAACTTTCAAAGGTATACATGAAGAACATGGACGATTAGAAATGGGGATGCCATTGTTATGTCGTCCAGTAATGTTTTGTTATGCACGGGTGAGTTCAATGTTTCTGGCTTGTTGTGTTTGCATAATGGAATTGTACAAATGTTATGGTCTGCCTTTGTTTCACTATAATCTCCGAACAGGAGAATGTTCGATAATCTCCAATGTTGAACCCTGTTTTTCCTCACGTGGATCACCAAATATTGTTTTCTTCTATGTTTCTGCTTTCTGGACTATTGGTAATGTTAGCGTATCAACATATCATAGGTTTATGACAACTCTTTTAGCAGCGGATGCTCAAGACCTTCTTCTTCTTGAACTGCCTGCCAAGGCCGACAACGCCTTGCGATCAGATTCAGCTATTAAGCTAATGCTCAAACGAATGATGATATGAGAATCTTTATTCGATCGCAGTTGGATAACTAAGTTTTATTTTTATTCATTTTTGGTGGATGACCGTGTTCGTCGAAAAGAATCCAAAAGCAAGTCATTTGGTCATATTTGGCTTGAACTGAGTGCCACTTATCCCTCACTAAATTCAGGCAGAATATGTGCTTCAAATTAGGTCAACTTTGGCCCGTTGTGGACACACCAATGAGAGCAATGTGCCCCCTAATTAAGATTCTTGGGCAACAAGAAAGCTAGAGGGGGAGAGAAATTAACCTCCACAAATATAGAAGAACTTCTAAGGATTTGCAAATCTCCTACCACTAATTATTACTTAAGCTAAGATCTTTGTAACTTTGTAACATGGAATCAGTTCTTTAAAGCATAATCAAAGACGACCATCTCAAGAAGAGACTGGTAGCTTGCTTGACTAAGAACATTCTTTACGGCACTTTTGGTCTTGATTCTGCACAAGCCACCATCTCTAAAAAATTACAATTTTTATTATTATTTTTAAAATCTGATTAAAACAGTTTTTATTCTGCTTACATGGTACCAACTACCAAGGACGTCAATACGTGGCCGTTCATGTTTTGGTTTCAATGTTGTCTACTTTTAGTTCCCCATTATCTATTTAAGTATGCATTATTATATATGCAGATTATGTAAACAAAAATTCTATATCAAATTTTCATGTGACTTTGAAAATGGAGTATCCAAATTGTATTTATCATATCAAATCACGTCATAGTTTTTAACTGACTCAAATCTGACGTTGGTTTAATTTTTACTATAGCTAAGGATAATGATGACGATAATTGTGAAATTTATCTACAAGTGATCTTCAAATGATGAAAAAAATAATGAAAATTAATTATGACGTTTGTACAATTAAATGATGCCACAATAGAAACGGAATGCCGAATTCCCTCCTTATTGGGAAGCACGAATGTATTGTCCTACAACCAATATGTATTGATACATATATGACACGTCATTTAGTGAACAAATTAACTGAATAAATTTTGTAACATTTTTTGTCAAGGGTTAGCGCTTTATTTATATCATGAAAAATGCTAAAAGAATATACACGACGAAAGCACAAATTGTGCTATCTGGTTTCATTGGCTATGGATTAATCATTAAAGCATGGATGCCTTTCATAAAGAAGTTGCTTAAAATTAATTTTTTTTAATGGGTTTTAACTCTAAAATGATGTGGTTCTGATTAATCGTGTGCTTAATATGGGATGGCATCACTTGCCTTTCATCTCCTTTTCATTATGCTCAAGAATAAACCCAATAAGGAAAGTAGTAGAGCATGATTGTGTCGAAATTTCAAATTTTCAACACCATTGAGAACATGAAAGATGCTTCGTCATCATCCTTTTGGTTGGACAAACCATATAATATATGACTGGTTCTAGCAGTATGGTTCTCACACTATCTAATTGGACTCTCTTTTCACCCACACATGTATTTAATCATCTGTTTTATATTTATGATATAGCACTAGGGTTGGAGCGACACAGTTTTTCTCATACCTACAAATTATGACCAACACCAAATCCTTCTTATTGCAGATTAATCAAGCATGATCAGCTCTTATGACTTTATAACTCTGCTGACTAGAAGAGGGGGTCAAACTACAACACCAATCGACCTCGAAAGTAGTGATCACATGATAAATATTTACCAGGTCATGATCTTATGTACCACATTACTACATGATGTACACATACTCAAAAACAGTGATTGCATGATACTGATTCATCGTGTCATGATCTTATGTACCATACAAATAATAGGCGACGACTTGATGTATTAAGGCATTTTTCCAATTTACCAAAGTACTCAACTTAAAACGCCTCTAATTTTTTGTTATAACTGCTTACACACTCGTGCGATTGAGAACTTTCCATCTAGTCCCAAATCAGACCCAAAAGGACAATTTGATTTTTTTACTCCCTCAAAGTCAAGTATAATCCTACTTAGGTTAGATATGAGAATTCAACGAATGAAAGTTAATTAAGTTCTCAAAATCCTTCATTAATGAAATAAATCTTTAAAATTTGAGGCAATAGTTCACCAAAATACTCTTGTTGCGTAATTAATTCAGACCTAGTTTCAAAGGGAGTTGACGGTAAGGGGCAACGCGTCGGTCAAGGCGAAAAACTTATGTGGGGCTCAATGTGCCACTGGACAATGCCTAATGGCACTACGACTCAATCAAAATTTAACATGTGGTACGACTCAATCAAAATTTAACATGTGGTAAGATTTTTAATTATGATTTCAGAGTTATGTTACCTTTTAAAGATTTCATAATTACATAAAAATTAAAAATATATTATAAAGATTAGTAAAATTAAAAGTAGACTCCAATCACCCAACCGGAGCAGTCCTCCATCATTTGAGAATGGACTTGGATTGTCTGCCCTCCCATTTCAGTGCCCTCCTCGTGCCCTCCTGTTTGTGTGGTCACGGTTAAGCCACGTCAACATTTTATATTACTATTTCTTTTTGTTTTATTATTTTTATAAAAAAATAATATAAAATATTGACGTGGCTTAACCGTGACCACACAAAACAGGAGGGCACAGGGAGGGCACCAAAATGGGAGGGCAGACAATCCAAGTCCTTTTAATTCACCCTTCCAGCACAGATGTCAGTATCGTTTGACTAAACTTCGAGGTAATAAGCTTTATATTTTCCATTCTCATAGATTTTCTTGGCATGGCTAGCCTAATTCTTGAAAAATAAAGAAGAAATATTTTGTGTTTGCAGAAAATGATTCATCATTGAAAAAATAAAATAAAATAAAATAAAACGATTCTGAATTCAATTATATGTAATTGTTTTCATGACCAAAGTCTATACAATTCCAATTAATCCCTTACTTAGGAAACTGATCAACATCAGCCCATATAAAAGTTTATCTCCCAGGTTTTTCCCGTGGAGGAAGTCTTGGTGGGTGTTTTTGTCTTATTTGTTTTAATGTTGGAAATAATATTATTTTAGTTTTTATGTAAATAGGAAATTGTAGTTAAATTTAACCACGTGTCAAATTTTGATTGAATCGCAGTGTCACTAGGCATTATTCAGTGGCACATTGAGTCCCACATAAGTTTTTCTCCCCGTCAATTGATAAATTGGGTCACTTTAATTTTCAAAGATGTATGATTTGACCATACTCAAAATGAGTTGTCCGGTCTTGCAATGGGCAAGTTTGGTAGTCTCACTTTATGCGAGTTTGATAGTCTTGCTATAGACAAGTTTGATCACTGTGAGAGTGATCTGGTAGTTTTTTACCATAAGATTAAATAAAATTGAATGGTGTATCATGTCTCCGAGTTTAGGATGTGAGATTTTTATGATTCAATCTTGGTATAGACTTTACCTGATTTATGAGTTACGATTTATGGCTTATGCTTTATGACGATGATGATTTTATGAAAGTTGGATTCGTTACTACTTATCTTCTGGCACGTATACAACCGTACAAACTTAGAGCATTGTACCACGTTCACGGTCGTAGGACACAACTTGCACGTGTATGGTTATATTTTTAGCTTACACGTGTATTGGGGTACTACATTTATATTTTCAGTTTGTCATCACTTAAGAGTTTTCTTAGCAATGGCATGTTTATACATTTAGAATATTGTTTCACGTTCACAACCGCAGGACACAACTTGCAAATGTATGAGTATTTTTAGCTTGTCCACATTGTAGACATGTCCTTCCAGCTTGTCATTCGTCTCGGGATTACTCGACAATATGACATGCTTATATTATTCAATTTCTACTAGTTGTGGCTAGTGGATGATATTGTATGCCATGCCACTGGTAAGTAACAACTTAGTATATATGTAACGATTAGTTCTCAGTGTATATAGGAATCAATAGCAGTTGATGTGAGCATCTTTGACCTCGAGGCATCATTTCAAGCAATGACACATCCTTATTGAGTAGGATATCTACTCAGCTTTACCCATAAACTGGTATTAGACAACTGTGCTTTGAACTATTATTGTATTTGTAATTGAGGGTCAGAGACGCATTAAGTGGGGCCCTTAGGGGATGTGTGATATAAATGTGGTTTCCCTATAGGTATTTTAATTTAGGCTTATCCGTATTTTAAAGGAAGTTCTGCCGAATTTTCGTTAAATTTTATTTGTTATCATTAGTTATATTTTCTTACGTCTCATGGCTACGGGTGATGTCTAGCATGCCTTGATTTTGGTGCCTATAGAATCCGGGTCGGGGTGTGTCACGTCATCTTTGAGAGTTAAGCTTAATACCATATATTAAAAATGAGATGTAATTAGAGTCACTATCCCTGAATTTTAGCTTAACTGGAGCTTTGGTCTCTGAACTAAAAATCCATGAGTGTTGGTCCTTGAATTTATTATAATGTGAAGCAATAGTCCTTTGGGCTAATTTTGTTAAAATTTCCATTCATTTTTTACCCCTTTAAACTCTTTATTTTGGATGAAATTTCTAATAGTGTTAATTAAAATAGATTAATGCTCTTTGTTGTGGCAAGTTTAGGGACCTATTTTTAATTTAGGGCCAAAGCTCTAATTGACTCAAAGTTCAACGATCATTACTTCAGTTTTCTCTAAAAATTATGAAAAATAATAGTAGATCTAATTCTAACTTAATTAATGAGATCATATATATTCAAAAATATATAAGATTTGTTGTGGCCTATATTTAACTGATAGGGGAAGGGGGGCCGGAGACACAGAGAAAGTATAGAGAGAGAGAGAGAGAGAGAGAGAGAGATGTGTTTGTAGGGTTGTGTAGAGGATATGTTATTTCCCCTACACAGTGCCTTTATTTATAGTAATAAGAGAGAAGAAATCCTTCTCCTCCAAGGAATACAAGTCCTAATAGAGAAGTATAACTACAATCAAATCTAATTTAGGACACTTAAATAAAAAGTTTATGACACTCCCCCTTAAGTGTGTAAATACTCAAGTACATTCGGCATCATGTAGAGGTTGAGGAAGTTGACTCATCGGCACTGATTTTGGGAACACGCTATTCTCAAATAAAGTAGGAACTTGCATAAGGAAGTAAGTCTCACAAAAAACCCTATGGCTATGGTAAAAACCCGAGTAGGGACAAAATCCATTGTCTAAGGAAAAATGTGTGAGAAATGTAAAGTCAAATGAAACGTCTACGAGACGTGATTAGGGATATGATCAACCCAAGGTGGGTGCCTCATCAAAACCTCGTTAGGTAGCAAAAATCCAGTGGGAAAAATGCTCTTAATTGTAGGGAAAAAAAGTACATTA